CGAATAATTCAGTTCCGACGGTGTTTACATTAAGCAAGAATAATATCTGTCCTGTTTTTTTTAAATTTTAGAAAAAAACGAATTAACACCTTTACATCGCGTGGCGCGTACAAATCCTCGCCATGATACAGCATTTCAGGGCAGTGAAACACAACCGTGCCAAAATGCACGTTTTATTTTGCATACTCCCTCCACAAACACTGCATCGCTCGGAGTCACCAATTAGGCGCCTTGCTGGACAACAAAAGCACTTTGTTGGTATCACGCCCTTCTACTGTCCAAATTGGACAAACTTTTAACAGCAAAATAGTCAATTTTTCATGAGTTATCAGTGTGTTTGGAGGGAATACCAAATCGCATTACTCAATTGTTATTGCTTGTTTATAGTGAGCATGCAGCAGCATGTGCGAGGGGCGATTTTATGTTTTAGGCACGCCTTCTGTTCATAAAATTCCTGTGCCAAAACTTTTAGTCCACATCATTTATGTTTAGCCCAGAGTGACAAGCCTGACAAGCGCAATAGGGTGTAATTCCTACTGAATGGTTGTCCAGGCCAATATTCACTCGCCCTTAGAGGCTTCTCCACTTCCCAGTTCCATCTCGAGACACACAGAATCAACCATCGCCATCCACAATGACAACTTTTTTTATTCAAACTGAATAGAGATGCAAATACCTTGACATGATTGTCTAAAATTGAACAATACATGGTTGTTCTGCCAAGTTGGAACAATAGGACCCACAACACCGGCGACATTGTGACAACAGCGAATGTGGGAAATGCGAAGAGGTGAGGGCAGCACAACATCGAGGGACAAACAATAAATTTAGCAGTTTTAAGGACTCATTTACTGATGTGGCTGCAACTGCTGTAGTCATGAGCTGTCCACTCCAGTGGATGCTTGTAGTCGATGGAATGGGTGGTGCTCGACACACCAGCTGCTGTGTCCTCCCCATCAGAGATAAGTAGCTTTTGATCCAGTCCAACACTTTTCATGCAGGATCTTGCCGGTTTCACCAACTCAAAACCCGACGTCTAGACAGGGTGAGGTAGAAATTTTAATCTTTTGGTAAAGCCTTTGCACTTGCACCATCACAGGTTGACTTACGCTCTCATTCTCTGAATCGCTGGAAGAGGAACTGTCGATTGGTGAGGGCGTTGGTGGTGGTGGTGGAAGGACTCGGCTCATTTGGAAGTGCACTCTCTGTTTTGGCTTAATTTCAGCTCGAGCTAACCTCCTGGATGCGAATTTGGGTCTCAACACGGGCACCCAGATGTCCTCCTCTGTATCATCACGATCCCGTCTTTTGGTATAATCATCCTCCTCCTCTTCTTCCTCCTCCTCGTCTTCCTCTTCGTCCTCCTCACCGTCCCTGCAATGCTCATTTGCTGCTACGTAGCCGACAGTGGTGGTAATGAAGTTTTGTGTAAAACTCGGAGATGCTCGATACCGACGTCGACGAATCGACTTGTTGCGAACCCACACCAGACCAGCCAGGACGACAACCAGTCCGATTGCGAGAATCATCACACCCACCCAGTAGCCCCAACTGTGGTTCTAAAGTACACCCAACCAATGGGATTAATGCTGAAAAAAAACTTCAGAACTACTTGTTTCTTCGGTCGAAAATATCTTTTAAAAAAGTAAGAGCTGTGTATCTGTGCTGAGATCGTCCAGCCTGTTCGGTTCTGTGCAGCTGTGGCGCTTCAAACGCTCGGCTTCCTGACCTTTCCAACTCTAAAACCATCAGGCCGGTAGACATGAGGCCTCAGTGACAGTGGTGCAGGAAATCGCAGTAAAAGTGAGACGGATACATCCGACGGAACAATAAACCATTAAAATTCGCAAATAAAAGGTTTACCTGATGCATTTTTAACAATTTTGTTCTGACAAGCAATCATTTGCCAGTTTCAGAAATCTCCGTAAAAAAATCTTCCCTCATGAAAGTCAAGTGTCAACTAACTAATCAACATTCTTTCCATCAGAATTAAAATTCTAGGCCTCACTGGTAAATTCTAAGTGGAAACTCACTGACCCTGGGCTTTTTGTCAGCTTGAAGTGGATACGCAACTGGCTGGACCTCTTCGAAGAAGACGCGTTTTTCATCATGGTCAACCAGCTCCTCACCTGAGGCCTCAAAGGAGTCGGTGTCGACAATGCTAAACTGCAAAAAAAAATCCCCAAATTCTCCTAGTTAATAAAGGCCAGATCTGCTTGGTCTGCATGTTTAAAGACTTTGCTGCCCCTAAAAGGACTTCATTCTTTGATACATCATCTTCCCAAAGGTGGTGCAAATAAAAGGTCATCGTGTTTCAAACACATCTCTTACTTTGTAGCGGATTTATAGCCGCGGAGACACACCCTGTTTTTCTAAACAGACCCTTACTATTGCCTCAAACAACATGAATGTGTTTGAGTGTTGCTCCATTTTACACTGTTGCAGCTTGTTGGATGGTAGAGCAACTAAAACGTCAATTTTTGTCCGCCGCGTGTTCTGATTGGCTCGTTACACATGATTGTATCTACAGTTAGCAAAATTGGTAAATTGTTCCGTTCATTATCTAAGGCACCAAAAGACCATGAAACAGGGAACAAAGAGCATGCCTGGTTGTACCGACATTAGGTTTCTTCACTTCATGTCGCTAAATCGTTTCATAAGTTAGTCTCTAAATGACGTGACTGAGGGCGAATTAAGTAGTAGTTTGTGAGTAAAAATCGTGTATTTTTACCTGTGTTTCCAGTTGATTACTGCGATGAAAGACAATCATCTTCTCATCGTCGTCTTGAATCATCGCAGTGCACTGAATGCTGACACATCGTGTCAAGCCTTTTACGGCATTTCTATGCTTCCAAGCCATGTGTCGAAGG